AGAATGAAGTCTGCTGTGAGTGATTTATGGGGGTAAGAAGATAACTTTACTAATTTAAACTAAACTTAAAAATGCCGTTTGCAGGACATTTGAACTGTTGCCAAGGCTTTCATCTTCATAATTGTCCTGAGTTACAGTGGCTAATTTAAAAGAAGTGAGAAAAATGAGCTATGAAATAAATGGTGAGGACATGGAGGAAGGACAAGACTTAGAAAATTTGGAGATTGGCCAACTTACTGTGAAGTAATTTAAAAGCTATTGCTAGATGAATTTCGAAGCACGTTTAATGAGACTTGTAAGAGTTTATTGAAGAAACCTCAGAACTTACTTGTGGATTGTGATGGGGGAAAAGAGAGGAATCAATTACAGCCCCAGCAATATACGGTGGAAGATGAGACCAGAAGGCTAAGTACCACTGTGCAGGAAACATTGGCTCCATGTAAGATAGGATTTGAGAAACTCAATGTACAAACACCATACTTAGAAGAAACCTTGGGAAAATTTGTGATGTTGGAGACGAGGAAACAAAATTCTTGGGAGTACTTACCCAAGAAAAAGATTAAACTTGGTGAGGCAAAATTAAAGCCTGGTACAAGGAAGCATGACAAGCATGGAAGAAATAATAAAAGACCAAAGAATACTGGACGGAATCCCTCCTTTTTGCACTTGAATTGTAGAAGGGAACAAATGGAAATGGAAGTTCATGTGTTTAAGAAGAAAAGGCACCTATGCATGGTTGTAAAGAAAGAAAGGGTGCAGAAAATTAAGAAAAGACTAGCATACTATAAAGTGGTTTAGTATAAATTTTGGGTTAAAGGAAAGATGGGAAATGGATGTGCTTTAGATAGGAACTGTGATACTGTGAGACTCTGTGTACACAATGGCTTTATTGTTAAAGGGTGAAGTCCAAAATGAGTAAGAAAGAAAGGAAAAAAAGGATGCAGAAAATCAAGAAAAGATTAGTATGTTATAAAGTGGTTTAGTATAAGTTATGGGTTAAAGGTAAGATGAAAAATAGATGTGCTTTAGATAGGAACTGTGAGACTCTGTGTATATAATGGATTTATTATATAAGGTGTGATGTTCAAAACGGGCAAATAAGGTAACAATTTCTGTAAAGTAGCTAATACTTTCTTAAGTATAGCAAGTACTATTGGAGAAAATGGGGTTTTCTTATCAGATGTATGAGACATGAATAGTTTAGTTAATATTTAGTCAGTATTATAGCTAAGAATTTTGATGTTTCAGTTTACTTAATCCTCCCCTTACTGGGTGTTTAATTTATAAGAAGGTAAAAGGGGGTGTAAATATAAAAGCAAGGTATCTATAAAACTGTTAGTTTATTTTTAAGGCCCATAGTTATAAACAGATGCTATTTTTTCTTTTTTAAAATTTCGTTGTGTTAGAGGAAATGAGACATTAGCTTAAGATACTTTATAATAATATGAAGAGAAGAAGCTTGAATATTGTCCTGGGGACGGGACTCCCCCCCCCATGTCCCGAGGACGGGACTTCTACCACCCCAAAACCGATGACGCCAGACCCCCCGCAGCATTGGGGCGGCGGGCGGCGAATCCCTCCCCACTTACCTGGGTGGCTGGAGGGTCTGGGGAAGGCAGCGGGGGCGGCGAGACGGGAGGAAGCACCAGCCATGTTCGCCCCGCTTGCAAAGGGAGCTGGGGCGGGCAGGAGGGGGCAGTGGCTACGAGGCCCCAGGCCTCAGTGGGGAGAGAAGGGGAGCTGACGAGACGGGTGGTGACGCCTCAGCCCACAGCCTTGACCGGGCCCTGGGGGGAGCAGCAGGTCGGGAAAGGCGTGAGGGCCCGCCCACGGAGCCAAACACAGCGGCCAGGGTGGGAGACAGCAGAAGAGGAAGGGACCACGCCTCAGGACGTGCGTCTCCAGTCTTGTAAGGGGGCATGGCCCAAGGAGGAGGAGGGCACAGGCAGGAGCAGGGCACCCTGGGAACCGGGTGGGGGAAATATAAGGGAGGCAAAGGCCGGGGAGGACTCCTGGATGAACGGCTGCCCAGAGGGAGAGAGAGCATCATCCAGCAGGGACGGGAGCGTAGGGAACGGTGCTGTAACCACCCTCCCCTGTCCAGGTGTCTGAGGCCAGCATACTCCAGGGGGGAACGGAAGGGGACAAGGCAACGTGGCCACGCTTGGCGGAGTTGGGAGCTCGAGCGACGAGGACAGTGAAGGGTCGTCGTCGGGCTCCTGTGACAAATATTAAAGCTAAGAATGTTGAGATTTCCTTTGGTTTGGTTTGCAGCAAGATGGTAAAATCTTATTTTGCTTGTATTTGAATTTGATCTTCAAGTTTTGGTGTTTTTTCTTTTTTTAAGAATTTAACCTTTGGACATAAAAGGTAATTGTGGTTAAGATTAATGTAAAGAGAGATTTAAGATAAGGTTATAAATACACTTAGAAATGTGATCTGAGTTGTGTTGTTGGGAAATGTGGAAGCAGTTAGTTATGTTAGAATTTTGTGTTGTTGTTAAGATAAGATACGGCGGTCTTCTTTCTTGCATGTTTGTAGATGTCTGTGTATTGTTGTTGTTTATTTGTTCCTTTTTTGTGTGTTGTAAAATCAATAACAATACTGGTTAAAAAAAAGTAAGAGTAGTCTTCCATTTTCTAATAAAGATACCAAAGTAGGTTTAAAATTGTTCTTTCACATAGATAGCTATTAATCTTTTCTTTACTTTGTCCAAAGCAGTAAATAACTTACCAAGTTTCTTATTAACTAGATAATGTTCATCTTTACATCTAATATGTGTTTCCTGCAAACATACAATATCCACATCTATTGTCTTAAGTTGTTGAAATATCTTTTGTCAGTTTGGTGTAGTGGTTAAGTGTGTGGACTCTAATCTGGGAGAACCAGGTTTGGTTCCCCACTCCTCCACTTGCACCTGGCTGGATGACCTTTGGCAAGCCATAATTCTGGCACAGATAGTCTACTCTTGAAAAAGAGTAGTTTCCGTCAGAGTTCTCTCAGCCCCACCTACCTCACAGGGTGTCTGTTGTGGGGAGGGGAAGGGAAAGGAGTTTGTAAGCCACTCTGAGACACCTTTGGGTAGTGAAGGGCGAGGTATAAATCCAATCTCTTCTTCTTCTTCTTCTTCTTCTTCTTCTTCTTCTTCTTCTTCTTTTCTCAGGTGAATTTAGTTCATTTACATTTTCCAAAAATATCTTGATAGTTGATAGATTCATTGTGACCGATTCTTATTACCCTGCAACCTGGATTGTTCTCTTCATTCCTTCTTTCTCTCCTCATTCCTGAGAGGGGTCACTGGTAGCTAAGTCATTGTTTCAATTGCCGAACAATTAATCCCTTTTCCTGACCCATTAACAGTCTAAGTTTTGGTTAATATTTCCTGGGGATCATATAAAAGAGAGCATCCAGCCATTGCTCACTCTCTTGCTTTCACCTTCCTAATCCCACCCTATCTTGCTGGTTCCATTTTTAGCGCTGTTTGGAATTTCTCATGTGTGTTGCTGGCCAACTCATGACCCTTTCCCATATTTTTATCCCTTTTTCACTGCAGAGTCAACTCGTCTCATCGGACATGTAACGTATCACCCCCAACAACTATACTTCCTGCTAATGCAACCGTCTCTGTACCTTTCTCTCTTAATTCCTAGACCTGTGTCGCTTGTGTGTATGATTGATTTTATATTGTATTTGTGAGAATCGCTCAGTAAAGAAATCACTCTTTTAGAAATCTAGCCTCAATGTCTATTTCTGGGCTCTGGGAAATTTAACTCCCATATACATAGGTTATTGATCCCCTATTGCCATTTAATATTCATAATCTCCCACTTTTATTAAGAAATAAGGCAATTTGGCTAACAATGTTCAGCAATGCTCCAGGCTTGTGCTATTTCACTGTCTGCCCCAGGCCTGTGAAACATCCTCCCAGAAGAGAGCAGGGGTGCTTCTACTCTACTTCTGGCTTTCAAGCAAAGCTGTAAGACAGCTATTCTTGGAGAGTGTTGGGGGCAGCCTAGATAGACAGTTCTCTGGTTATTTAGACCCAATTGACCCACATGTTGGGAATGGAACAGAATTCCATATCATGACATCAAGACACTCTGCATTTTCCTACTTCTACCTCATATTACAGGCTACCACCAGCAGAAAAAGCAATACACTGTGATGTTACAACCCAAAGTGAGTTTAGAATAATATCTAGTTTGGCTTTTAGGCAAGCAACTCTGTTCTCATCTTTAATCTCCCATCTGCAATATGGGGATACAAATACTGACATACTTTACAAGGTCACTGTAAACATTACAACCTATGTTAAGTGTTTGGACATTCAAGAAATACTGTATGAATGCTAACTATTGCAACTGCTATTTGCAACTGCTAGGAAACCCCGTGAAAATTTCATAGCTACAACATTGTAGAAACCAAAGGTTTTAGACATATTCCTAAGCAGATAGCCATGCTAGTTACCAACACATGTCCAGACTGAAGGTCAACTGAGTGACTTAGATTAAGTGGGAGGGGATGTGAAGTTTGTTAATTTTATTTTTCTTTCCCCTTGGCCACACACCACTGTGGTCCTACATATTCTTATCTATTACCTTGATATCTGCTGCCACCATTTACCTTTAAAAGGTAATATACCTTTTCTTCTTATATCTTGGTAGGTTGGTAAAGAATACAGCTAGTAGGTGTAGGTATAATGCCAGACACAGAGACCAATGTAGAACTAAAGATGAAAATGTTTATTTAAAAACTATGGATTGGATCTTGTGACTCCTTTCCATCCATTGTTTCTCCAACAGAGAAAGATCATCACTGGATACCTTTCACCATCAGAAAAAGTAATTCTCCTTTGGTGGAAGTCTTTCTTTCTTGAAGCAAAACTTATCAGAAGAAGTCATAGAATCCCAAAAGTATAGGAGGTCATATGGTTCAGCCCATAGGAATATATAACAGGACATTTGATACAGTGGCCTGGAAGGCTGAATGATGAACTGTAGGGGAGTTGTCTAGGCAGTCACAAGACCTAGAAGCAGAAATTAGTCCACTTGAGTATTTGTCTCTCTGGTTTCCCCCTTTCTTGACTGCACTAATGGGACCATAATGCTGCTTAGATTTAAAGCATAACTCATTGCTCTAAGTGGGACCTGAAATGGGATGCTTTATGCAGCCAGGTGAGCACCGTATATTTTGGTCTTGTTGCCTTCTGTATTTCTGAAGTCCTGGCAATGATAATGGGAAACACAGAAACAGACAAGCCCAGTTGGGCTGTACCTTGTTTCCCAATTCTGCCTGTTCACTGGGGGGTACTTCCTCCGGCATGATGGCCTCAAGGCTTCCTGAGGGGTCCCATGATTCCCCAGGGTTTTTGTGCATGGCATGGTGTGGGGAATTCTTCCTCCTCTGAAGATATATTGACCTATTTCTTTTTCCAATTTATAATTTTTATTTTTTATAAACACCCAAACCATACAACAGTTATTAACCATATATCGGTAACTATAACCATACATAAATGCCTAGAAGGAATGCTGTAACAAAATCAAGATTCATATCACATAGAAAAACACCTTAACAAAGGAGTGCTCATATATCATAAATTTTCTTAAAAGTACAATAGGTTTGTATAATAAGGATTTTTTGGTACAATGTTACTATTTGCTAAATAGTCTACTATAGGAAACCAAATTGCTTGAAAAAGCTTTTGTTTATTTGCTGTATTCTTTCCACTGTTTTTTTCTGAAATCCGGCTAAGCACAAAATATTCCCAAAGTTTGTTTTGCCAACAATATAATGATGGAGCTTCTTTCGCTTTCCAAAATTGGGCAATTGAAATTCTGGCAATTGCAATCAGTATTGCTGTTTGCATCTTTACACTTTTGACCTCCAAATCTACAATCCCCAATTCTAGTACAACAGATTCTAAAGAGGCAGGCAAATGGACAGCATTAATTTTAACAATTTGCAATAAAATCTGTTTCCAAAAATCTTGGATTATTGGGCAATACCACCGTGGGTGAAATCGCCCACCTGACCACATTGCTTCCAGCATATAGATGGAATAGTTGGTTTCATTTTATGGAGCCTGGCTGGTGTCAAATACCACCTGTGTATAACCTTGAATGTATTGAATCGGACATTAAATACTGGTGATGTGTTATTTGGTAGTGCCCATATTTTCTGCCAGGTATCTTTTGTTAGTGTTTGTGTACAATCCATATCCCATTGATTTTGACTTTTCAACCGTGTTTCCTTATGTGCTAAACATAATACCTTATATACTTTAGAGATCAAGCCTTTAACTCCACCCTCTATATTGACCTATTTCAATGCTGGGCTTGGGAAGGTCCAGACAACTGAAAGGTGCTAGAAGTTACAGATGGGAGAATTCCGAACACGTCTACTACATTTGGCAGCAAACATGCTTTGCCACCTACTGGCCCCGGTCACACGGGCAGGAAACTGCAGAGGAGAAGCGTGGCTGTTTGCCCTGGGGCAAACTACTGCGCAGTTACGTGATCAGACCTCCTGTGGAGGTCCTGTGGAGGTACCGTGGAGGTTCCATGGCAAGGGAGAGGTGCCAATCACAGGACAAGCCGGCGCACAATGCAGACGCGCGCGCCGCGGCAAACTGTTTTTTATTTTTGTGTACATGACAAATGGACAAAAAAACCCACTTTATTTGCAAGGGGACATGGGCGGGCGCCGGATGCCACCGGAAACGCGATCAGACGCCCGCCCTTGCCCCGCAGTTTCTGGAAACTAGTACCTCCAAGGTACTAGTTTTTTGCCACGCAGTTTCAGCTGGAAGCCTCGGTTGAGCCACGGTAGTGCTACGCTTCCCAGATGTGCTGGTGAGATCGCGCCCGGAAACTCCGGCTGTTTTCCGTCTCACTTGTGTGTCTTCTGTTACGTGTGACCGCAGCCACTGAGCTCAATTCACCATTACCAAGTGAAACATATGCTTTTAATGTTTTAAAGTATTATATAAACACTAGCAGCAGTTTTTGTTGTTGTTAAGGATGGTAGCCCTGAAGCAATCCACAACAAATGTTGCAAATGATGGAAGATTACATTCCTAGCAACCATATTAATAAAATACATACTTTCAGGAGGAATTTCTCTTTCTCATTTTTGATCTGCTGTTCCATTTCTTCATAGAGGTAGTGAATTTCTTCATCATAGGCAGCAATTTTCCTAATCAGAAACAGAAAAGTGTATCAAATTGCGGGTACATTGCCTCCAATTGCAGGTACGTTGCCTCCAATCATGGAGATCTCATCCTGTTAATTCATACCATAATATTCCCCATTACTATGTATGGATGTGAAAGTTAGTTTCTTCATTAAGAAAGGTGACAGGGAAAAAGTTGACTCATTTGAAATGTGGTGTTGGAGAAGAGCTTTACAGAACCATGGATTGCCAAAAAGATAAATAAGCAGGTTCTCCATCAAATTAAGCCTGAATTCTCCCTAGAAGCCACAATGACTAAACGGAGACAATCATACTTTGGTCACATGATGAGAAAACAAGAGTTACTGGAAAAGTCAATAAAGCTAGGAAAAGTTGAAGGCTGCAGGAAAGGGAAAAGACCCAACATGAAATGGATTGACTCAACAAAGGAGTCCATATCCCTCAGTCCGCAAGACCTGAGCAAGGCTCCTAACAATAGGTGGTTTTGGAGGTTGGTTATGCACAGGGTCACCATAATTCAGAAGCTTGTGTCAGCTATGCTGCCATGATGTTTATGGGCTAGAGTGCATCTGCTTGACCTGGGTACCAACTGCTGCTGCATTCCTTCGTTCTTTTTATCTCTGACCTTGCAGGCTGCCTGTGTAGTGTCTTCCCATCATTTACCCATGGGATTACTTTCAATTCCCAGGTTTGGCTGTAACGGCCTGGGGCCCCATTCTCCCGCGCGCGGGAGTCAGGCCGATTGGCCTAGGAGTGTGTGGGGGGTGCATACGAATACCCTATATCCCATTAGGCTTGCAGGAACGTAGCCATTCCTAACAGTGACCATGTTACTGCATCTATAGCTGTTGCCATAAAGTATAACCTTATGCTAAGCGTGTACTCTTTTGTTTGGCTGTGGAACCTGACATTCTGTTAGGAATCCTACCTTCTCTATCTACGCGCATCTCTCAACCCGAGATGAGCGACAAAGAGGAGAAACCTATTCCCACAACGACGGGAGAGGAAACTCCCACCACCCAGACCGATGTGCCGGTGACTACTACGCCACCAGTGACTACCCCGAAGAAGGACCCAGGGCTCGGAACCGTACCTAAGACAACCTCGACCCACCTTTTCCTGACCCCCTGCGGACCGAGGCAACCGCCCAGGCAGGGGTATCGACCGGGCTCGTTAAGGTGGGGCCAATTTAACCCAGACTCAACGGCAGAGACATATGTGCTCACGCAGGGGCCCTGGAGGGACAGCCGGTTTGACGTGGGATTTGCATCTGCAGGTGGCTTCACCCCATTTGGGGGAGCGCTGGAAGCACTGCACGGGGCCTGGGTGACAGACCGGTTCAAGGTGTGGAGCAGCCGCGCCTCCCCGGATGAGGGATTGGAATTGGCCAACCACCTGGAGGCGGTGGAGCAGGACAGGTGCCAACTGAGACGGGAACTTGAGGAAGTAATCCAGGCAATCCAACAGATGGTGATACAAGCTATAACGGCCCAGAGGGAGGTGCAACAGCTGGCTCCTGTTCTCCCCCCCCCTCAACCGGCCATGGGGCATAATAGGATATAGGGTATTCGTATGCATCCCCCCCACTGCCCTGGCCAATAAGCCACCCTCCCACGCGCGGGAGAAAGTGCTCTGGCCATTTAGCACTGAAGCTGGGAACCAAACTCTCTCCCACGGTCCCCGAGAAATCCAGACATCAACATCCCCACCTGCATAACTTAGAGATAAGCGTTGCAGCAGCAAAGAAGCACAGAAGGAATGCAAAGGCAATTAGAAGACAACCAACTTCCCCACCCCCATGGCAGCATAGCTGACATGGACCCGATCTCCCTCCCCGTGTGGATGCAAGAGGCGGAGAGTGCGGAAGGTGAAATCTGCACACCCGGCTGAGTCTACCAGAGAGCAATGGATGAGACAAGGGCTCTGCCTAAAATGTGGAGAACGGGGCCACTTCACAGCCGACTGCAGGGGATCGAGCCCGGGGAAGCCGGCGCAACTGGAACCACCCAAGGCATGGCCAGGCACACCCGCAAAGAAGCCAGCGGAGAAACCAACATTTGCCAAAGCACTACAGGTCACTCCGGAAGAAATCGGGGAGGAATCCAGCAAGGGCAAAGACAACGAGCCGGCGGGAAAAGGCCAGGTCCTGCTGTGAGCGGCGCGGAGCAGCAGGGCCTGATCCCGGAGGCGCCAAAAGTGGTGAGCAGCTACCCCTCCCTGTTTTTCGCGACTGTGACTCTTATCAACCCAGCCCAAGGAACTCCCACCCGTGTGAGCAGGGCCCTCATTGACTCTGGGTGTGGGGGGGACCTCATCAATCCCTCCTTGGTAACGGGGTGGGAAGCGGGGGTGGTGAGACTGCAAACCCCCCTAATTTTCACCCAAATTGATGGGTCCACGATGAAGGAGCCATGCGAATTTGAGACGGTCCCATTGCGGGTGGGGATGGGGGATCACTGGGAGGGACGTCCGTTCGTGATCACCGCTGCTGCCAGGTTCCCGCTGGTATTTAGGAGCCCCTGGTTGCATGGACATGACCCGTACATGTTGTGGGATGAAGGGAAAGTTCAGTTCATCTCCCCTCGGTGCCAATCACATAGATGGAACCCACAGTGGGGTTCGCAACCTGTCATGGAAAAGCCAAGGGTTTGTTTGGCCCAGGAGGAATTACAATCCATTCCCCCTGAATACTGGGACTTGGCCAGAGTCTTTGAAGAAGAAGAAGCCGATGAGCTACCCCCCCACCCCCACAGGCGCTCAGACTGTAGTATAGAACTGCTGCCGGGTCACAAATTGCCTAAGGGGCGCATCTATGCGATGGGGGCCTTACAGTTCTGTGTCCTTTGACATGATGGGCTTTACCCTTCAACCTGATCAGAAGGACGAGAGGCGGAAGAGTCACTCTGGTGCTTTCCCCCCAGTGCCATTTTAACGTCTCAGTCTGGCCATGTTCAGGATTCATTGACAACATTTGATCAGTCAGTCAATCAAGGCTGGTTTGAACATTATTAGTGGGAAAGTGGGGTAGTAATAAATGGAATGTTGACCCTATTCATGATTTTGTCAAGAAGGAAAATGACATGTTACAAGAAACAAGATACTTCTTCAACTGCTAAAGTTAATTCTTTACTTAAAACACCTGTTCACTGAGAATGATCCATTTGATTCCTAAGGGAACTACTTGACTACCGGAATCTTTGTAAATTTAAGTGACAGCAAAGAGCATACAATCCATCGGAGGAGCTGCCACATGGACATGATAAAAAGAAGTACTAACTTTCTCAGGGCAGACTCCAATTCATTCTTCTCATGGTCGGCTTCTTGAAGCTGGGAGAAAACTCTTGCTAGGAATTCTTCAAAACTGGAAAGTAAATGGGGCTCATCTTTCCTCAGCTTTGACCAGAGTTTCTTCACATCATTCTCACTTACAAAAGAAAAGGAAGTAATTGTTATGTGCTAAGGTTTCCAGGCTGCAATAGCATCTGATGTTATGACTGCCTGTACAACAAAAATAATCTCCATATTTCTGCTGCAGACATGAAGGCTCTGTGTGTGTGTGTGTGTTTTTGATATACAAACCTGCATATCAGCAGGGTGTCGTGGTTTGACTAGGGTCTGGGAAATCCAGGCTCAAATTCCTATTCTGTCATGGAACTTTACTGGGCAACCTTGGGCCAATCACTTTCTCTCAACCTAACTGACCCTTCAGCATTATTGTCATGAGAAAAGATTAAAGTAAGAAGAATGATTTCATCAGCTACTTTGGGTGTCCCATGGGGAGAAAAATGGGGTCCAAATATCTAAACGAACAGCTTGCCAGGAATTTCTCCTTGTGGCTTTATCTAGTGCTGCGCAGTGCTGAGTGTTCATTTGGGTAAGAAAGCTCACTCGCCCATATGGTGCTCACTGAGTGAGAGAGAAAAGGGCAGTGCTTTCAGCCCACTCGCTCTCGCGTGAAGGCTCCCTCTGCGTGGGGGTTTTTGATATACAAGCCTGTATATCAGCAGGGTGTCGTGGTTTAACTAGGATCTGGGAAACCCAGGCTCAAATTCCTATTTTACTCTGGTTTTTGTCTGAAATTTTTAAACTTTAAATTTTTAAATGTAATTGTTTGAATTTTATATATTGTTTCTCTGTCATGATATTTTATGTGACCTTGTAAGCTGCCCTGAGCCCACAGAAAGGCAGTCATGACAAGAATTCCAACAAGGGCTCTCCAAAGAAACCCCACAACAGCTTGGTGAGCACCCAAGCCACACTAGACGAGCGAGGGAAACATGTCCTCAACTCTCACAGCCGCCCCAGGGCGGAAACACACAGGTCCAGAGCACACCCATTAACCGGGTGTATTCTTCTACTCTGCAGACAAATGGAAACACAGGTTGAGTTGGCCGGGCCACCCACAAGTCTCCGAAGACAGGTTTAAGCCCACTTTAAACTGGACTACCCGATAGAGCCCGCCAGGGGCCAATCCTGTGGGGAGAACTCTCCCCGCTGGCTCTGCTGATGCTCTTCTGGGCAGCCCAGTTTAAACCATACTGCTCAACAGAGCCTGTAAAGAAGCTGATCAGTCACATAGTCCATAAGAGCCCCAGCTGAGCCGGCAGGGAGAGTGCCAGCCCTCGGCTGTTTTGCAGGCTGTCTTCTGCAGTCCCCTTAAAGATCCCCTGTTTAAACAACTGCAGAAGGAAGCTCAAAAACAGCTGAGCAGCAGGAGCTATCTGCTCCAGCCCATCAGCTGTTTTTTGGGTTTGCCAATAATTCTCGAATATATCGAGTATTTTTTTCTGGTTCTCTGGAAAAATCCCAGATACATTTGGGATGCCAAAATATACCTGTAAAATACCGATAAGGTGTTTTTCAGGTATATTTCCTGTTCAGGAAGACCCAAATGCACATCTCTAGCATCCAGTTGCTAAGCCCCACCCCTCAGCATGAGCAGAGAAACAAGGTGGCTCAGAGCGATGGAGCAGCTCAGAGCCCTGAGTCCACCTAAAATCCAATCCCCAGCAGGAGAGAGGTGTTCACAATCAAGAATGAATGAATGTGTTCTGCTTTTAACCAAGTTCCCTGCCTCTCTGCATAACTGCCAACAGAGGAGAGGCTGCGGAACTGAGCTCAGGGTATATATAGCATTTTGATCCCATAGGGCAGAATGGGAACTCTGTTATTGGCATCCAGCGGTGCCTGTCAAGCTTTGGAGGGTCCCTACTGGTGTTTCCAAGGCTGGAGAATTCTGCCCCCCCCCATATTGCTTTGAAGTTTGGTAAATATTTTAATTGAGTGGAGACCGTCTGTCTGTAAATGTATCCATTCATGAACTGCCATGAATGCCAATGAACAAAGTTTGAAAGTTTGTGGAAAGTTTGTGCTGGTCACCCAGTCACAAACTTCACTTTGTGAACCACGAACCAGCCACAAGAACATAAGAGAAGCCAATGTTGGATCAGGCCAATGGCCCATCCAGTCCAACATTCTGTCACACAGTATCCAAAAATACCAGGTGCCATCAGGAGGTCCAGCAATGGGGACAGGACAATAGGAGCCCTCCCACTGTTGCCCCCCCAAGCACCAAGAATAAAGTGCATCCCTTGCCGCAGCCTGAGAGTTCCTATCTATACCTTGTGGCTAACAGCCACTGATGGACCTCTGCTTCATTAGCTTATCTAATTCCCTCTTGAAGCTGCCCATGCTTGTAGCCGCCACCACCTCCTGTGGCAGTGAATTCCATGTGTGAATCACTCTTTGGGTGAAGAAGTATTTCCTTTTATCTGTTCTAATCCAACTGCTCAGCAATTTCATGGAGTGCCCATGAGTTCTTGTATTGTGAGAAAGGGAGAAAAGTACTTCTTTCTCAACCTGCTCTATCCCATGCATACTCTTATAAACTTCAATCATGTCACCCCTCAGCCATCGTTTCTCCAAACTAAAGAGCCCCAAGCGTTTTAACCTTTCTTTATAGAGAAAGTGTTCCAACCCTTTTACCATTCTACTTGCCCTTTTCTGCACTTTTTCCAATGCTATAACATCCTTTTTGAGGTGTGGTGACCAGAACTGTACACAGTACTCCAAATGAGGTCACACCATTGATTTATACAGGGGCATTATGATACTGGCTGATTTGTTTTCAGTTCCCTTCCTAATAATTCCCAGCATAGTGTTGGCCTTTTTTATTGCAGTCGCACACTTTCTAGACATTTTCATTGAGTTATCTACTATGACTCCAAGATCTCTCTCTTGGTCAGTCTCTGCCAGTTTGGACACCAACAATGTGTATTTATATTTAGGATTTCTGGCTCCAATGTGCATCGCTTTGCACTTGGCCACATTGAACCCCATTTGCCACGTTGACGCCCACTCGCCCATCCTCGACAGATACCTTTGGAGTGCCTCACAATCCTCCCTGGTTGTCACCACCCTGAACAACTTTGTGTCATCTGCAAATTTAGCCACTCACTGCTTATGAAGAACTTTAGTTCATGAGCCAGTTTGTGCCCATCTCGAGTTATAAAATACTGGGCTGGACCTGGCGAGGAAACCAAAGAATCTTTGGCATGAATGTTGGTTTCCAAGAACAATCAGTCTAGGTCTTTCCAACACAACTGAGAGTACCTCTGCCAACAAAGACAGGGGCCCACTGGGGAATTAAGCAGCTGGTAAATAAGAAAAATGCCTAACCTGTCCTTAGATCCCAACATAATTAATGGCTATGGTATTTTGCACTGGGGGTCTGTGAAAAGAGAAGATGATAACCACCCCACCTCCTGCCTCCCCACCCTCCAAATCCAGGGTTGATGAGAGACCATATAACCAGGTGGAATTAACTGGGAAACATGTGTCATGTAATTTTCTTTCAACCAGGTTTCAGTTATGAAAACCAGATCAGTTTTTGCTACAACAATCTAGATAAGTTGCCCCATCCAATACTTTAAAAAAAACATCACCAGAGATTAATGATGTGGACAGTTATCACCTCCAGTTTGCCATTTCTGGGTATAATAATAGAGAGACCAGTTGCAGAACAATTCAAGTTGTTCCTGGATATCTCATCTGTGCTAGACTCCTTTTAGTCTGATTTTAGGCCAGACTATGGGATGGACACTGTGCTGGTAGCTTAAATTGATGATCTCTGTGCCAAACTAGATATTCGCTTTTTAAAAGAGTTGGGTCTGAGGTTCCCAGACTCATTGGTCCCAAGTCAGGTTCCCCTCAGAGATGCTGCTGCTGCTGCGGGGCGGGGGGGGGGCTCCTGTTCCCAGTCACTTCCACATTGAAATGGCAGTGTGGGGGGGAGTTGCTTCCCCATTTTGCTGCTCCATACAGAGTATTATGTGCTCCTGGAAAAGCAAAAATGGGGAAATAGCTCCCTCCCCCCCAGCACTGCTTTGATGTGGAAAATGGCCATGGGGGGGGGAGTGCTGCTTTATTTTTTTAACAGCCATTCACTGTAGCTGCTGTGTGGCTGTGGGGAACCTGAACCCAACTCTTAAAAACAATGGACGTCTACTTTGGCCCTCTGCTTGAATGTAGACAATAGACATGCCTGTTTGTTGCTCTTACTGTATTTATCAGAAGCCTTTGATACTGTGGACTATGCCATTTTGTTGAAGAGTCTGGAGGCAGAACCAGGGATTAAGGGAAGTGCTTAACCAGTTCCTTATGGACTGGACTTGGAAGGTTCCTGTTGGAGATCAGCTTTTAGCAGTGTCGAGCCTTTCTGGTGGGATCGCAGAGTCCTAAGTCTTATCCTCCATGTTACTGCATGTCTATGCAAAGCCCTTATGAGAAATCATTTGTATTTGAGAATATCAATATGCTGATAACACCCAGCTCTACATTTCCTTATCCGAATTGCCTGGTGACAGTGTAGAGGACCTGAGTTACTAACTGTTTGCTGTGGTTGAGGGTGAACAAGCTGAAACTGAATCCCGAGAAGGCAAAGTTGATGCTAATTAGGGAGGCCGAGGCCTTGAAAGACAGTGTGCTTCCCACATTTGATGGGGTCCACCTGACGCGCACTGAGGTCATTACTGAATCTAGCCTTATTACTGAAGAAGTAAGTTAATGATGCTGCAAAAAATGCTTTCTTCAATTAGCCCAAATGATTGTTCTTTACCTTGACCTGGCTGATCCAGCCACATCCCAGAGTATTCTTGAGGACAAACTATTATAATGCACTCTGCGTAGGTGTTCCCTTCAAGTCAGCCCAGAAACTCCACTTGATACAGAACATTGCAGCTCGGTTACTATCTGGAGCTAGGCTTTAATGATGGGTTTCTTGTTGGTTTAAATGGTTTTTAAGATGTGATTTTTCTTATGTATTTCTTCATTTGTAAGCCACTTTGGTGGCCCTTATGGGGGCAAAAAGGCAAGATATAAATGAAGATAAATAAATACTCAAAATGCTAAGTCCTGTTATAATGTGTCCATCGTGGTTATATGGGAGAGCATTAGAAATATATTACCCATTTAGGCTAAATAGTACAACCGAGCAAGAGCTGCATCACACGATTTTCTTGGCACTCTGATGTTTTGCAACAGTACTTACTCTTCTAAGACCTTATTAGCACCAAGCTTCCCCATAAGATTTGAAAACTGATGATCTTCGTCTTCCTCCTCATTGCTGTCCTTCCAGTTTCCTGTCCATTTGGACTGATGCATGCTTTCAGTTCCATAGCCTTGCACTTCAGAGACTGATACGTTTTGCCCAAGCAAAAACTGGCCTGCAAATAAGAACAGATTAAGAGAACGATCCTAAGCATGTCTACTTGGAATCCTACTAAAACATTTATCACCCAAAGCCATTGCCAAAGAAATGGATATGGCATAAAAGAGGGAAGTGAACAATAAAACTATGAGCAAACAAACTTTGAAAAATAGGGGAAATGTTTGATCTCACTCTGAGTGAAAATGTTGCTACAAGAGCAGAAAGAGGAGCAGAATTTAGTAACACTTATTATTATTAACCGTGTTGCGAATTTCAATTAATCCCAGAGGGAATTAGTTAGCCAATGGAAACAGAGACTAGAATTAAAAAACAGGTTTCAGGAAAGTTAATTAGTCCAGGGCCTCCCACTTTTGGAAAGGACGGGATTAGGGAGAGTTGCAAGAATAGAAATGCTGATCTGCGGATAGAACATTCTGCATAATTATTTACTTTGGTTGATCATTACAACAAGCAAATTCATTACACAGCCTGTAAGAAATGTAATCACAAGCACTGCTCCATGCATCGCTGGTCTTGCAAAGCAACGGACATCCTATGTGTTTGGTCAGCAGGAGCACAGATTCCAGTGCAGTGGCTGGTGAATACTCTGGAGCGTGTGGCTGAGCACTTGCAGGAGAGGGAGGCATGCCTCTGAGCCCCTCCTCCTTGCACTGCCAGCCACTGATGTGGGATGCAGGGCTGTAGAGGTACATGGGGGTGAAGAGAGAGATTTATAGTGGCCCGAGTTTGAGGCTTGCCTGTGTGGGATACAGTGAGGCTCCCTCTTGGGTGTCTGTGCTCTAAGTGTGCGTGACATGAGGCTAGAGCAATATAGGCACATGTCACCCACCTTATCACCCGATGTCCTGGCTGGGGTTTATATGACCTATGATTGGCTGCAGGATTAAATGGCGTCATAAACTGTGCTTTCATGTGGGGCAGGAGGTGGTGAGGGAGCACTCAGATTTTTTCTTTGCATGGGAGGCAACAGTTCTGAGATAGAACCATAGAATCACAGAGCTGGAAGGGGCCATTCAGTTGAGCTCCCTGCTGCTCCATGCAGGATCAGCCTACTAGAGCATCCCTGACAAGTGTTTGTCCAGACGCTGCTTCAAGACTGCCAAGTGAGGGGGAGCTCACCGCCTCCCTAGTGTCAGCTATGCTGCCATGGGGGTCGGGAGGGTCAGGCAGAGGCAGTGCAATTCCTATTGCATTCCTTTCTGTGCTTCGTGCTGAAATGCTTATCTGTAACGATGTGCAGGTGGGAGTTGTGTTGTCTGCTTTCTTCCAGGGAGCCGTGGGAGAAGGCGAGTTCCCAGCTTCGGCTAGAAACCGTTTGCTAGCTTCATCACGCGTGCGGGAGGGTGCCTCATTGGCCAGCGCAGTGGTGTGTGTGTGTGTGCAGACGAATACCCTATATCTTATTATGCCATTCTTAACAGTGACTATGTCAACGCATCTATAGGTCTTCAATAAAAGTATTACCTTTCCTGAAAGTGTGTACTACGTTGTTGGCTGTGGGATCTGACACCAAGCCAGCTGATTCCACTGTTCCACAACTCTGACTGTAAAAACGTTTTTCCTAATACCTTCCTGCCCTTAGTTTAAACCCATTATTTCGAGTCCTCTCCTCTGCTGCCAAAAAGAACAGCTTCCTGCCCTCCTCTAAGTGACACAGCCCTTCACATACTTCAAGAGAGCAATCATGTCCCCACCTCTCCTCCAGACTGAGCATTCCCAAGAAGTCCCTCAGCCTTTCCTCACAGGGCTTCTTGGTCTCCAGGCCCCGGATCATCCTCGTCGCTCTCCTCTGCACCCACTCCATTCTGTCCACATCCTTTTTGAAGGGAGGCTTCCAGAACTACACACAATACTCCAGGTGTGGCCTGACCAATGCAGTGTACAGCAGGACTATGGCATCTTGTGATGTGGATACACAAGGGCTTTTGGTGGTATACTGTTACAATGACATACAAAGGGCTAGAGAGGCTCTGGAAGCTGACCAAGGCCGTATTCTACTCACAACAGACCTCTAACACTGCCTAATTCTATATCTGCGTAGCATAACGTCAGGTGAAAGGTTTTTGGAGTGCTGTTTGCATTTCAGAACTCACTGAATCCTGAGGTGAATTCCTCTGGAGTAAGTGAACCATTGCCATCTGCATCCAGTGTATCAAATACTTTCTCCAGTTCTTCTAAGCTAAGGGGTAATTCTCCATGAAGTCTCTGAAACAGCAAATAATTATTTGGTTATACAAATTTTCAATATAAATAAAGAATGTGACACTCAAAATAGAGTTCAAGACAGAGATTGAAATTATCTAGTTTAACATAAGAGTGCTTTTTAAAATAGTCAATCTAAAAGTATAGTTTCTATATACAGATAACTTGATGATAACTGTTTTTACTGATGAATAAATCTGTCTCTGCACACTCCTAATGACCTCCTCCTCCTCCTCCATCATCAGAGTTGGATTTCTACCCTGCCCTTCACTTGGAGTCTCAGAGCAGCTCACAGTCTCCTTCCCTTCCTCTCCCCACAACAGACACCCTGTGAGGTAGGTGGGGCTGAGAGAGCTCTGAGAGAACAGTTTTGGGAGAACTGTGACTGACCCAAGGTCACCCAGCTGTCTGCACGTGGAGGAGGAGTGGGGAATGAGACCCGGGTCTCCCAGATGAGAGTCCGCCACTCTTTACCACTACACCAAACTGCCTCTCATCTTGGAAGCCATCCTCTCACTGGACTGCTTGGTATTTGGTGTCCTTTCCCAGCCCTTCTTTCGCTGTGTTCTAAAGAGGCTCAAGATGCCCGCTGCCGACCTCCACCTCCAGACGCTGCCACTCTCAAAAAGCACTAAAGAACCAGAGGTAATGTGCATATTGTGTGTACATTTATACTTGCAAATACCCAGCTCAAATATGGGTGGGCACACTCATTCCACAAACACAGACCAGCTTTTTAACAATTCAGCGGCAGGTCAAATATCTGCATTGACTCTTTGATGCATAACAGATGGAGATTCTGTGCTAAAGGACAAAGGGAAGGGAAAACAGACATCTAATTCAAAAATAGTGAAGATGATCTAGTATGCAAGTAACACGTATCTCTATTTCTCCCTGGCAGTCCTGGAAAAATTCCTAGAGAAAGTAATGGCATGGATGATGGCCAATAGCAGATGTCAGTCTAGACAAGACTCAGGTGCTCTTGATTAATAATCGATCTCCTCAAGGAATGTGTGATCAGCTTGACTGATTCCACTGTGTCAAGTTTCCCTGGGCCTGCACTTCTATTCATCCACTGCTGTCCCTAGTTTCCACAGATGATTTTGCCCTCCCAGGTGCAAAAACGCAGTTTGCCTTGGAGCATTGGAATCTCCTGTTTCTGGGAAGATTTTCCAATCCCACCATTGAACTCATGCCAACCTAGTGGAAAAATATTTGCTCATCCAGTGTTTTTCAGTTCTAGGCCCGCCCTCCCCTCCACATTTGCATGTTCCACCCACCAGGGTCACAATACCACGGAACAGTTTCCAGGTAATTAGCTTGTTTCCGATTCTAAAGGCTTTTCTGCTATCTACTATAGCAGATAGTTAATGGCAGAAAGTGAAGAGGACCTAAAGAGCCTCTTGCTCAGGATAAAAGAGGAGAGCGCAAAAGTGGGCTTGAAGCTCAACATCAAAAAAACTAAGATCATGGCATCTGGTCCCAGCACTCCTTGGCAAATAGAAGGGGAAGTTGTGGAAGTAGTGACAGACTTCACGTTCCTGGGATCCCAAATCACCGCAGACTGTGACTGCAGCCATGAAATTAAAAGACGCCTGTTCCTTGGGAGGAAAGCGATGGCGAACCTAAACAGCATGATAAAAAGTAGAGACATCACCCTGCCAACAAAAGTCCGCATGGTCAAAGCAATGGTATTCCCAGTAGTCATGTATGGCTGCGAGAGTTGGACTATAAGGAAGGCTGAGCGCCGAAGAATAGATTCTTTTGAACTATGGTGCTGGAGAAGACTCTTGAGAGTCCCTTGGACTGCAAGAAGATCAAATCAGTCAATCCTAAAAGAAATCAACCCTGACTGTTCCCTGGAAGGCCAGATAATGAAACTGAAGCTCAAATACTTTGGCCACCAAATGAGAAGGGGGCACTCACTGGAGAAGAAGACTCTGATGCTGGGAAAGATTGAAGGTCAAAGAAGACGGGGACGGCAAAGGATGAGATGGTTGGACAGTGTCATCGATGCAACGAACATGAAACTGAGCAAACTTCAGAGGACAGCGGAAGACAGGAGGGCCTGGCGGGATCTGGTCCATGGGGTCGCGAAGAGTCGGACTCGACTGTGCGACTGAACAACAACAAATAGCAGATAGTGCTGTGACATGATCGCCTAAAGTATCTATCTAGTAACCAGAAGGTTATATGATTGAGTCTCAGCTGGGATTCTGATGGGCTTAAATTTTTTTTATTGCATTTGAACACAATTTTGGCCATTATAACCTGCTCAGCAGCTTGCATTCCTCCAAAGCATCCCCCTCCCCAATTTTAGATTGCTCCTGTAACGTTTGCAGTAGGATTTTTTAAAATGTATTCCAGGTCGTATGGAGAGTCTGCCTGCCAAAGATCTTGCTCAAATGCTTATTCTGCCTCATTTTGCTTTGTTGAAAAGAGACATTCCCAAGCTACACTTTCCCTCCCAGCTCATGACAACTGAACAGTTGGTTTGGATTCCTTGAAGTGCGCACACACACAAACATACACACAGAGGCACAATCTAAGTAAATGATGGGGAAATTGCAGCAAAAATATGCAACTTCTAGATGAGACAGAAGGAGGGTGGTAGGCGGGGTCAGCACGTATGGCTTATGGCAGTGGGGTGGGAAAAGAGGTCACATCACAGACATGCTGCATGATGGGAGGCAGCTTTGCCCCCATTCAAATTGATTGCGGAACTCAATCAGTGGGTCGGACACTGGAAAAACAACGAAGAAGAAGCCCTAGTGCAGAGCAAGTGAAGCAAATTCACAATCAGGTTATACTGTGGAAACGGCCCCTGTCTTGGAGAAGGATGCACTACCCCTGAAAAGGGGAGGTTTTTAGTTTATGAGTAGTCCTGTATCCCAGTCTGCTACGGGAGGCTCAGGTCTCCTCTGTCGCTTATATCCCCTTTATCAGCATTGGTGGATATGAAGCTAATCAGGTGGCAACCTGAAAGAGGACATTTTTGGTCGTGTGGCCAAGGTTATGGAACTCTCTCTTCAAGGATCTCTGTCCCCTTCTGTCACTATCTTCTGCCCAGTGGGTGAAGACTTTTGGTTTTTTGGTTTGTTTGTTTTACCTCTTAATAATCTCTCCTCCTTTTTTTAAATATATGTATATGTATTTCTTTCTGGTTTTTAATTTGTTTTAAGGTGAGTTTGTATACTACTCTGTTTTTAGTTGTTAAATGTCTTGGTGGCCCCTGACTGGGCTGAAAGGCAGGATACAAATCTTCATACTCATCATTTAAGGCTATTGCAGCGCACTCTCTGTGTGAGAATGTCTTTGAACACTGTCTGGAAACTTCATCTGGTCCAAAATACAGTGACCAGATTGCTGTCGGGGTTTGGATACAGATATCACATCACCTTTGCACTGCACTATAGGGGTGTGCAAGGGAAAAAAATGTTTTTTCAGATTCAGGAGAAATTGGACTCGAAAAATATCGGTACTTACTGATATTCCCAAATAACAATACTGGTATGGCACCAAATCTACAGCTGGAGTCTTGTTAAACGTTTATTCTCTGGGTTATCTTATCGTTACTGTTCTCATTATATATCGCTGTTTTTGTGTTATGCTTTAGAAACACATTCTGTACAGTGACAATATTGGTTTATGTTATATTGTATTTGGAACTTGTTTTTTCTTTTGTTAAAAGTTGAAAAATTAATAAAAAGTTATTAAAAAAAAATATTGGACCAGGGGGTTCAATTCTATGGGCACCCAAAGAAAGTGCCCTCATCCTCCATTGTTTCCAATGGGGGGGGGGACATACAAGCCCAGCAGAACGTCCCAGAGAATATCTGCAGTAGAAAATGAAGTGTGGGGGGGCTTTTTGCAACCAGGAAAAGGCCTGAGCTGAGGCCCTATGCCAGGCAGGCCTCACCCCCACCACCCCAGAACCCACCTAACCAAGCCAAAAGACAAACTAGCAGTAAAATAAGAAAAGGTTTTTTTTAAAAAACCTGCTGTTATCATACATCAAACCAGTCGCTGTCTTCAGTCTTCTCCAGGCAGACTGGTAGGAATGGATCTGATCTGAAGTCCACAGAGTCCCTCAGGCAGCAGAGAGAGTCAGGCTCAGAGCAGCAGCTGAAGCAAAAGCCAGCCACCCGTGATCCTTTGTGACTGGATATACTGGCTTTTGTATGTGCTTCTACTGAGATTGGGTCCCACTATAGCCTATTGGTTTTGAAAAAGAATTATTCAAAACGCGGCAGCTTGCATCCGGACTATGCGTCTCTATGGCTTATGAAATTCAAGAATGTTTGGATTATCCAGGAACTATATGAGTCCCGCTCCATGATGAATGCGTGTCAGGTTGTACTATGATATTACAATACAACTGGAGTGAGACACACTGAAATCTTTGAGACTTTATTTTTCTATCTTTCTGTATACCGTAGTTATATTTCTGAATTACTGAATTTTGGCAGTAAGTATTATTCTTATATATATATTTTTGTTTATCTTTAGCCAGCGGTTTTTTGTGCTTTGTACCATTTGCAAATGCATTGCAGTGATTTGGCTCTAAGCTACCCCTAAGGAGCTTTTGACATTGGCCTACAAAGATCCATCCTTTCCCTCCCTCCTGTTGCCCTGAAAACCAGAGCAAACGATGAGAAAGAGTCTGAAATGGAAGGTAAGTGTAACCTCTCCAGAGCCGCTATTCGGTATTGCTGGAAAAAAGCCGAATAAAAGCTGAATAATTTTGGCTTTTTCCAGTATAGATAGTACCTGTAGCTGAAAAGATTCTTCAATTTGAATTTGGCTTAAAATACCAAGAAAAATACCAGTAAGGTATTTTTCAGGAGGGAGGGGGTTGACTTGGATAAACCAAATGTACACCCCTACTGCACTGGCTGCTTGTTACTAGGCAAAGTTCAAAGCGCTGGTGCTTTTAGAGCTCTACATAACTTGGAACTGGGGCCCTTGACTTCTCTCATACTGACCTGTTCATCCACTAAGAACTATATCTAAAGCTCTGTTCTCTGTGCTTCATCCATGGAAGTGAAGCAAGTGACAACCAATGACAGGGCCTTCTCACTGGTGACATTGCTGTTGTTAAATGTTCTTCACCTGGTGCCTACTTTATTGGCTTTTAGGTGCAAAATATTTATTTTCATTCAGGCTATTAGTTTAAAAATGTTTTCATCCTCTTCAGCATTTTAACAATGCTCTACAGTCTTGACCTCTGGAATGAATTCTTTTATGCTGCTGTTTTTATTGACATCATTTTATCACTTAGTTTTACTACTGAGAATGTTTATATCCCACTTTTAGCTTATAGCCAAAGATGTCTACATATTTCTTTAAAGACAAGACTTGTCACTGAACTTTGTCTAAAAGCAGTTCACAAAAAACATCAGAAGAAATTTGAGTGAAGCAAAACTGATATTTGATAAGATCAGCACAATGTCTTAGTCTACACAACATTACTTGGAACCGACAAAAGTTTATTGTAGATAATTTATCGAGCTGTGCCATGGCTATCATCCTACATCTCTCAAAAACAGTGTTCTGTTGAGACGCTACATATGATGAAGAAACTCTTCCTGCACTGGGAAAATTGGATAGAACTTTGGAGCAGAGTTGCCACTGAAGTTAACTTGAAGTAAAATTTCAAGGTGAATTTGATTGTGTTGTTTTACCTGCATGTTATGGCGAGTTATGAACCCTTTGCCTTCCACATCACAAACCCGAAAGAATTCCTGTGCTTTTGTGAAAATATTCAGTTGTGCTACTGAGTCTTCATTCTCCACTTTGCTCTTTGCTTGACCTCCTTGTGGCCCAGGGGAAGTAGAGTGTCTATTCATCTTCACAGTTGTAATCACGGGATCATCTGAGAAAGCTGCAATTTTGTTGAAAATTCCGGACCAAAATCTGAGTATGAAAGGAAGAGCATGTAAGAGCTCCTCTCAGCTATGCACTTTGTAATCCCTTAACCACCTCCTTTGTAATTAAGACTAATTAAAGAACACTAAAAAAATACAATCTCTTCAGCTAATTAACTGCATTGAATGGGAAGGTAGGTGAAGGAAGTAGGATGTAGCCAGTGTGAGCCAACAGAACCATCACTTCAAGCAACTTAATGGGGTAGTGGTGGTAAAATCTCTGTCTTTGGGTTAGATCCAGCAAGCTTTTTTGCTTCTTCTTGGCCAATTCACCTCCTTAATGTGTCCCACTATGCAAGTCCCATGTTCCCCAGGAAAGCATTTTTAGTGATCAAAGGATGATCTTTCTTGGTGAACTTCCCTTTTTTCACAAGCAGGAAAGCTGGTTGGATCCAACCCTTTATTTTGCAATGGAACCCACCCATGGATGTGTGTGTGTGATGTCTCCAGGAAAGAAGTGGAATAAGAGGATCAAGGAAGAGAAGGGGTATGTGGGAGGGGGGCGGGATGAAAAAAGAAAAGGGCTCAGGAAAAGGGGCTAGAACAGGGAGGGGGGAGGGAGGGGGGGGAGCAGCACAAGGCCTAGGAGCAAAAGGAGACGGTGGTTGACTGGCCGGGGAGGACTGATGCCACAGCGGGAACTTTGAATGAGCAGAGGAGGACGTGTGAGAAAGCTCAGAAAGGAGGAGAGTCAGTTGAGAGTGGGAACGATGGGGAGAAAGAGAGAGAGAAGGATGGAGAGAGACCGAGAGAGACAAAGGAGGGTTGCCTGAAAAGGGGGGGGGAGAAAGGAGAAGGGACTGTGTACTTTTCCTTTTGCGGTGGTGGTGGTGGAGCATTCCCTGGAATCTGAAATGCAGTCTGAAAGCAAGTCTTTTCATTCTTAAAATGTCCACACATTTGTGGCACGGTTTCAGGGTCTTTAAGTTATTCTGAAGGTGATGCTAATAGGGTAGGACCATAGGAGATGAAATTATCTCGTTGATTCAGGAACTGACTAGGTTACCACCAGGCAGGTTTGTATTGTGAGAGATGCTATTGAAGGGGAAGGAACGTAGGCTCATTGTCCTGCCAACACCAGCTGTTTATTTTGGCCTAGGTGTTGGCCAATCCCATGGACTCACAAAACCAGCCCTGCAATTAAGGGGTGTGGCAGTTCCTCACACAGACCTGCCTGTGTCCTCATGAGATGATGTCTCCTGGCTGCATGCCACTGGGGGGGCTTTTGTATGACGGGCACTTGTCCTCTCCTCCGCCTGCAGCTGGAGGCTGTGGGCCACCTAGGGAAGGGAGAGATGGCTGGCCAGTCAAGCTGCCTCTCAGGTCACATTGGCTGCAAGAATGGATCAACATGCCCCACCCTTTCCCATGGACTTCATGTAGACAGCTGGCAGATGACCCCCCCCGAAATGACCTCCCCTGGGGTTCTGTGCCAGGGCTCCTCAATGTCCGTCATGCTGCTGCCACACAGGAAACCATGCGCCCTGCTCAAGGCTGCCCTCGAGTGCAGGAAACAGGGATGCAGCACTAGCCGCCGGGGCAGGCCAAGAGGGGAGAGGAACTGTCAGCACTCGCAAGCCCACGGTGGTCCAGACTCCAAGGTCCGTGTACCGGTGTGGGTCTGGAATAGGAGCGGAGGCAGGACAAAATGCTCCCTATGTGCCGTGACGGCTAAGTGCTCCCCATTTGCCATCCCTGTGCTGTCACCACCACCAAGGTGCCTCGCCATTTGCGCAAAGTCCCCAACCCGAGAAGCAGCAAGACAGAGTCCTGTACCAACTGCCCTAATAGGTGCTCGTGTGCCCACACTGCACCTTCTTTTTTTGGGGGGGGGGTGACTGGGTGCTGGGGGAGGCTTGGCATACGAGGGGAGGGAGGTGATCATCCATGGCAGCAGTGGGCATTATAAGCTCCAAGGAGCTGAGTAGCCGAGGCGGCACCAGTGCGTGGGAAACAGGTTTTTGCAGGTCCATTCCCGCCGATGGGACAGGCCCTGGTTTCCTCCAGTGTAACTTTATGCCCCTGCCCGGGGGGTGTTTCCTGGCGGGAAGGGCACAAGGAGCTGACTACTGGCACAGTGGGCCCCCATCCTGTAGGCCCCACAGAGCCCTCTAATTTGTCTTCAGTGCCCATATACAAAAATGGGTCAATCTTAGTTGATTCTGAAGAGACCATGGACAAAATAGAGAAACTAAGCTGACAAAAGTGAGACCCAGAGAGAGCATTATCTAAAGTGTATCTCATGGAATGTGACTGGATGGTCAAATAAAATCCACGACCCCACATTCTTACAGTTTACAAGATATTATGATGTGATTTTTATCCAAGAGACCAAGTTAACATCAAAATTGATATTAAATGGACTCCTCACACACTCAATGCCGCCACCCCCAACTACTAAAGGATGCCCTAGTGGGGGCCTGGCATGTTTGATTTCTACATCACTGAAATGTGATGTAGCATTGCTTCTTCCCTTAAGATCCTTAGCAATGGCTTGTCTTTTGACTTTTGAAGTTCAAGTTATTTTGGCCAGTTTGGCGTAGTGGGTTAAGTGCGAGGACTCTAATCTGGGAGAACAGGGTTTGTTTCCCCACTCCTCCACTTGCGCCTGGCTGGATGACCTTGGGCAAGCCGTAGTTCTGACAAGAGCTGTCCTTGAAAAAAGAGCCATTTCTGTCAAGAGCTCTCTTGGCCCCACCTACCTCACAGGGTGTCTGTTGTGGGGAGGGGAAGGGAAAGGAGTCTGTAAGCCGCTCCGAGACTCCTTTAGGTAGTGAAGGGTGGGGTATAAATCCAATTTCTTCTTCTTTATTTTTTATTATTCATTATTTTCAGTTTGTATCCCACCTTGCCAGAAAACCAGCTCAAGGTGGCGAACAAACATTAAAAGCAATAAAACAGTAAATACAATAAAATAATAAACAACTACCTAACATCATAAAATTCTAACAAGAGCAATGCAGATGATGGCGGCTTCAATATACAATCCCATAGAGGGAGGCAGTATCCACTGGTGTTTCATATGGACCATAGAGTGTTTTGGTCGCACATTCATCAGTGGCGGCTCCTAATCAAAAGCCTGGTGGAAGAGCTCCGTTTTACAGGCCCTGCGGAACTGTAGGAGGTCCTGCAGGGCCCTGATGTTATCCGGGAGCTCATTTCATCAGTATGGGGCCGCCACTGAAAAAGCCCTGGCTCTAATAGTGGCCAACCTGGCGTCTCTTGGGCCGGGGAGAGACAGGCGATTCTGTGTCCCTGACCTCAGTGCTCTCTGGGGCACATGTGGGGAAAGGCGGTCCCTCAAGTAGGCAGGCCCCTGACCATATAGGGCTTTAAAGGTCAAAACCAGCACCTTGAAATGAATCCGGTAAGCTATTGGCAGCCAGTGCAATGCCTTCAGCACAGGCTGGATGTGGTCTTGTATAGAGAGACCCCTCAACAGCCTGGCTGCCGCATTTTGCACTAGCTGTAGCTTCCGGATCTGAGACAAGGGCAGCCCCATGTAGAGAGCGTTGCAGTAGTCTAATCTCGAGGTGACCATAGCATGAATCACTGTTGCCAGGTCATTGCATTCGAGGAAGGGAACCAGTTGCCTAATCAGCTGCAGTTGGTAAAAGGCTGCCTTGGCAGTGGCTGCTATCTGGGCCTCTATTGTTAAGGCGGCATCCAGGAGCACTCCCAAACTCCTGACCCTCGGCACTGGCACCAATGGTACCCCATCGAAGGTCGGGAGTGGGATCCCTACCTCCGATCCGCTCCCACTCAGGCACAGGACCTCCGTCTTCGTTGGATTCAATTTCAATCAGCTCAGACTAAGCCAGCCTTCCACGTCACGAAGCGCCTGCTCCAGGTCATCTGGGGTAGAGTTGGACTGACCACCCAGGAACAGATATAGCTGCGTGTCATCTGCATATTGATGGCACCCTAGCCTGTGCCTCCGGGCAATCTGGGTGAGGGGGCGCATGTAGATGTTAAATAACATCAGGGACAGTACCGCCCCTTGAGGAACCCCTCAGACCTGCGGGTACCCCTGGGATGTCTGCTCCCCTAACGCCACCCTCTGTCCCCGACCTTGGAGAAAGGAGACAAGCCATTCTTCTTCTTCTATATTCCTCCCCATTCCTCATCCTTTTGTTAAGGCAACTGTTGGCCTGACTTGGAAAATCACATCTATTAACTTAAGGTTAAATATCCCAAGGCACAAATAATATTGTTAGTCAACTTTTATGCTCATATTGGGAATGGTAGCATAAATATTATGGGAAATGCCTATGATGATGATCTTTATAATGGCAAGAGGAATACAAAAGACTCCTTGGTTAACAAACATGGTTAACAAACATTGAGCTGACTGGTCAACAAGCTTAGCTTTGCAATATTAAATGGTAACTTTGAGGGAGATAAACATGGGGGATTCACTTATTATAACCAGAAGGGCATAAGAGTGGTCAAGAACATCAGAACATCAGAATATCAAATGGAAGAGGGCAATTTAAGAACAACTGTTTTGATAGAGAGTGCTCACATTTGAACAAACAACTAAGACAAACAGCTTACCTAAATCTTTGAGCTCTATAATAAATACGAACGCCAACTCAGAGAGGGGGAAACCTTGCCTCAATAAAAGAGTCCTGGCAAGAGCTTTCCTTGCCATTAACTCAGAAAGAAAGGATGGAAGTTCTGGCACATACTGGCCACTTCAGAAGGGAGGGCACGGCCAGACATTGTGGGCGGGGGGGGAGCTACATCACTCTAAGGGTGTCACAGGTGTTATCTCCTTGCATGGGGTGCCTCTCTTTGTCCTCACCTGGGAGCTGCCCTCTCTGACCCCTCCCCTCTCTCTCCCTTTGTCCTCTCACTCACTCCACAAAGACCATGTCTCTGCAGGTCTCTCCTGTAGGCACAATGCCCTCATACGTCCACACACATGATGCCGGACAAGCTGGCCATTTGTGATAGGGAAATCCAAATCTAACTGCTAAATTAGAATTACAACTTTAAAAAAGGAATATAAGGCGCTGTTAAAAGCCAAAAAAAGAGCTGCTGATTCCCTTTTATGGCAATCCCTTGTTAAGGCCACTAGAGAAAAAGATAATGTCAGCTTCTGGAAAATCATCTCCAATATACATATCAAGACTTCCAATGCCCTCAATCCTATCTCTGCAGAAGCATGGGAAGAGCATTATAACAGCTTATTTAGGGATCAGCAGTACCTTGTGATGGCGAACCTCAACAGCATGATAAAAGGTAGAGACATCACCCTGCCAACAGAAGTCCGCATGGTCTAAGCAATGGTATTCCCAGTAGTCATGTATGGCTGCGAGAGTTGGACTATAAGGAAGGCCGAGCGCCGAAGAATAGATTCTTTTGAACTATGGTGCTGGAGAAGACTCTTGAGAGTCCCTCCTTGGACTGCAAGAAGATCAAATCAGTCAATCCTAAAAGAAATCAACCCTGACTGTTCCCTGGAAGGCCAGATAATGAAACTGAAGCTCAAATACTTTGGCCACCCAATGAGAAGGGAGCCCTCACTGGAGAAGACCCTGATGCTGGGAAAGACTGAATGTCAAAGAAGATGGGGACGGCAAAGGATGAGATGGTTGGACAGTGTCATTGATGCAACGAACATGAAATTGAGCAAACTTCAGAGGACGGAGGAAGACAGGAGGGCCTGGCGTGATCTTGTCCATGGGGTTGCGAAGAGTCAGACTCAACTGTGCGACTGAACAACAACAACAAAATATCTTGCTCCTCCTGATATTCTTCTAGATCAGTCCACACAGTGGCCTCCAGTCTCCGTATCTGAAACTCCTTTGTTAATATCACAACTGAAATCTGGAAAAGCACCAGGTGGTAACTTAAAGTTGCTAAGCTCTTAAAATTGCACATAGATTGGTGGGCTCCAGTCTTGGTTAATCTTTTTTCCTATATAGATGCTTGGCTATAATTGTTCCTTTATTTAAAAAGGGTAGCCCCTATGATCTATTGAACTACAGACCTGTCACACGAGCTGGACGACCCCTTGTCGCTCTCACTCGATCCTGAGTACTGCAGCCTGAACCGCAGAGGCCTCAGACTATTGGGAGAGGAGGAAGTTACATCACCACCCTCCGTTCTCCCTCGGTCGGTCCGACAAAACGCCCTCTCTCTCAGCTTGTCGTTTATCACGTCGCCAGTACCTCATCCTCCTTGGCCTCTGCCTCCTCCTTTTATTCCCCCTATGTGTCACCTGTCTTCCCCCTGTGCTCCACCCCTGTCCTTCCCACAGGCCCCGCCCGTTCTTCTTATGCCGGGACGCTGAGTTGTGGGTGTGGCGTCTTCCCAGCTCTCTCTCTCCTGGCCTGATGGCTGTGCTGGCCTTGTGTTTCCCCATCCCCAAGCTGCTCTGGGCCGTGGGCGGCCCGGCGTGGTTCCCTGTTTTCCTCCATGGGCTTCCTTCCGCGGGACCCATTGCTCGTCTGGGGCGTCGTCGCCCAAGCCGTCGGCAGTCGCTCCGACGGGACCTGGGGGACCTAGCGGCGTTGGAGTGGGTTGGCCTTGCCTTCTGGTAAGTACCGTGGACATGGGGGGTTGGGAGCGTCAGAGTCCCGAGTGGCGGCGGCCATCCCTGGGGAGGCTCGCCCTCGGGACAAGACCGATTAGTCTTCTGAATGTGATTTGTAAGTTATATACTAAACACCTCTGTCAGAAGCTGTGTGAATGGCTAGACCATAGCAACTTACTTGAAAT